TAACAAACAAGCAAAAAAAGAAAATAACAAAAAAACCCCACAACCTTATGCTTATATAAGCTCTTCTTTAAAGCAAATGTAGAAATCGATGCTTAAAGAAATTAATAGAAAACTGAAAAAGACTGTAAAGAGGGTTAGCTTGAAAAGAGCTCTTCTTGCTGTGCAGCCTCCAGCACGGCTACGCTGTAGAAATCAGTGCAAAGCCATCTCCTGCCTTGAAGAGGCTTTGGGAGCAGACAGCCCCAGCGTGTCACTGACAGAAGCCCTGGCATTTTGCTGGTGGTTGTATGGCAGCTGAAGGGCAATGTCATTTAGGAAGGTTGCTTTGTTCGGGTGACCAAAAGCACTGGGTTTGTTGGGTAATGTCAGATCTCTGTGTTGACCGAAGCAGGCTCATGGCAAGAAAGATAACTCGCGTTGACAGCTTTCTGTAGCGTGGGCCAAATATAAGCAATCAAGATGCTTATTCTGGGGAAGGGGAAAATAATTTAGGAGTGTTTGGAGCAGCTTCCTGAAGAACACTACATTAAACTGAGTTACATAGTAACAGATTGAATTTGGAGTCTTAACTTTAATTTTATTTAGTGTAGATTTAGATCGGATTTATGTGCAGTGCCATGCCCTTTGTTTATAGACAGAAATCCTCAGCTAACCTGCCTGAAAACTGATGGTATGATGTGGCCTCATATTATTTTTGTTTGTTATGAGTTTGCATTATTAAGGGCCCTATAATCACTCAAATAATACAGCCTACAGGGGCAATGAGCAGATCGACCTAAATGAAATAAGTATCTGGATATGTACATGCTCATCTGCATATGTTATCATTACACCAATGATACCAGCATTTATTTGCAGGAGACCTAAACAGCTTCATCAGCAAAAGCAGTCCAAGTTCAAGCCACAAAAAAAGCCAGCAGAAACAATAGGGGTCGTCTACCTCAATGCAACATTTTACATTTTGATAGCCATTAGTGACACATTTCTTACTTGATCTCTGCCAGTGTTCCAAGGGATTCTTCAAAATCTTCAGGCCTCATATTTAGTTTGGTTTTGTTGTGGAATTAAAAGGCAAAATATCTTCTCCTTCCCCAACTGTGAAGACAGCCTTTCCCACAGCAGAGGGACATCCAAGGCAGGTGGAAGCGCCTCTGCCTTCTCTGCTGTGATGTAAATGCCCTGATGTTTCTCAGGAGCGGTTGTTTGGTTGTCAGAGTACTTCTGTGGGTCAGTGTCACTTTCAGATATCACCTGCTTGCCAAAAATTAATTTACAATTCTGCATGTCACTGTTGTGACAGCCTGACCAATATTTAAAGCTCTATAGAACGTGCTGCTTGCCAACCAGGTTCAAGTCACACCAGCGTCATCATTGAGGAGGCAGAAAGAACCAGAAATGCAGGTCTGGTGCTGGTGGGGGAAGGCTTTTCAAGGTGCCTTCAAACCCCCATACTTCAGTTGTTGATGGGCCACCTCGTGCCCTTCCAAGATGAGCAGAACGCTGTGTAACCTTATTATCTATTCATTTACCTGCTGTGGAGTTCCTGTTGCCATATCACATGAGGATCAACCGAGCGCTTAGTAACAGAAATAAAAAGCTCTTCCTCGTTCTTCTCTTCCATCCGACAGAAGAAATAGTAGGAGATTATTTCTAAGGTCGCCAGTCTCGCTTTGCGTATGCATTTGTGTGTGTTTGAAAAAGCACTGTGCCAAAAGGAAAAAAAAAAAAAGTTTATATTAATTCCTGGTAGAATGGTTTTTTTTTGTGATCATTCTTTATAGCCTACATCGCTTGTGAGAAAGTTACTTAAGGAAACAAAAGCCCTCACCTTTTGTTGGCAGAATACAGCTCCGGTGGGATGCCACGTTTAGAGAGCAATAAAAGAAGTGAGAGGGGCATTGTCTCCTTCAGGTAGTCAGGGTCACACTCCTGGGTTTTAATTCCAGCAGTGTTTCATACTAAAATGACTTCATGTATTACCTAGGACAACGAGACTGTGTAATGAAAACCACTGCACAGCACAGTGAATTAAAATCAAGATACACATTACAGAGTGCAAATGGCTGGAGATGCAGATAAAAAGAAAGATGGATGTAAGGAGTGTATCGGACAATGATCCATGAACTGCAATTCTTCACCGGTAAGTATATTCTGTGACTTACTAATTTTCCCTTATAAGAAATGGGAATTAATGTTATTTTCCATCCTAGAGTAATCGTATAGCAATTCTTCATGTTCTTTTCTTTTTTTTTTCCTTCTTGTGCAGGGGGCAAACTACGTGGAAGTCAAGACACGCACAAAATTGCTGTTAAAAATGCTTCAACATGCAAATTTTTACAGTTTGGACTTTGTTTTCTTTGAGTTAAATGACGTGCATACATGAGAATGTATTCAGTAATCACACAGCTTATGCTAAGTAACTATTTCAAGTTGTCTTCAATACCAGCATGTTTCCACATACTTACCTTGAAGTGTTAATGACATTTATTTTGGTAATTTTGACTCTACTAACATGCTCTTTCAACACTTTAATGCACTGATGTATGTTTTTCAAGCAAATCTCTTAATTTAACTCAATGAGGAAATTGACTTGAAAAGCAGCACAAATCCTTGCTTATATAGGAAGTGTGTCTTGAAGTAAATGAGCTTATTTGCCTAAGGATGCCGGTATGGGGACTGCTCCAGCGAGTAGAAGTTTCACAACTGGATGCAAAGTCATTTACTTATTGTAGACCAACCTCTTGAAATAGTGACTCTTCTTCCAGCTCTGGAAAAGCAATTTTTCCAAACATCATTTTTTAAGATGTGAAAATGCAAATATGAGAGAATGCAAATATATATTTTTAAATATAGAACTTTAATTAAACATCAGTGCGTTTTGGGGTGATGGTAACTGAAAGCAAAATCTGCTAACAAGCAGGTAAATCTAAGTGCTTGCTCCCCACTGGACCGCATCCAGTGTCCATTGCAGTCTTTCCGTGGGGAGTAAGACTCCAGGTAGACAGAAAGATCTTTCTTTTGCCTCCAGGATGTTCTTACCACACACAATGCATCAATCCTCCTTGCAGTACGATGCGGATTATTATTAGAAATACGTTAATAGGATATTATGCATTTGCAACCTTAACACGGGGTATAATTTATTTACAACCTTGCATCTCAGCTTCTCCTTTTTCCTCTCCCTGCCTCCGTATCTTCTTTCTTCTGAGCAGTCTTGCACTGCAGCACCAGGATTGTCCGTAGTGTTTAATGTTTTAGTGAAGTGCGCGGTCTCTCCTTTCACTCCCCAGGGTCCTGTTTCATCCTGGTGTGCTGAGAGATGCACGCTTTTACTTTTGCTTCTGACAAAAAGTACTCATGAGGTGTGTGAGCAGCCTCATGGGAATGCGTGCATCTCCTCCTTCCTCTGCTGCTGGAAAACCTGGCTGCTTCAGACAGGGACTGCAGTCATTACAACTACGCCACGAGAAACTTAAACTGGCTTTGTATAAACAGGGCACACAGTGGGCATGCAGTGGACACAACATTTATTTTCAGTTGTTATTGATGACCTTTCATAAGTTGCTCATGGCTCTACTTTGGCCTGTCACTTGTGAGCTAAAGGGTCATCAATAACTTATGGAAATGACTGCCTTATTGATAGTCTGGCTACTGCATATCCAGCATTTTATCTCTTTATATAGACACACAGACATTCAAAATACAAATCACAGAGAAAACACTTTTGATGGCAGCCAGTGCCCTTTTATCTTTAAAAAAAAAAAAAAAAAGTGGTTTTCTAGATTTTTCTTCCTTTCTTTCTTCCTCCCTTTCTTGTTTTCTTTCCTCCTCCCTTTCTTGCTTTCTTTCTCTCTGTCTTAGGTATTTCATAAAGATATGCCCCTAATTTATTTATAAGTGTAAGTCTTCAGAGCAAGGTAGTATTACCGAGCTGGCTTACCAGTTCCTCTATACACATGGGTACATTCATAATTGATGAAATGGTCTATAGTATTGTGGGTAGAATAAACTTAAGGTCAAAACTCTGGGAGAGCAAATCTTGCCATTATTCCTGATGAGAAATAAATACGTGCAGGAACTAAAAAGTGCGGAGCTGAAAGGGAATAAAACTGAGTGTATAAGGGCACTTTCAACAATTCATTCCAAAGCGAAAGTGCTTTTTCTGGTGGTGTTTTGTTGGTTTTTTTTTTTTTTTCCTTCATTGCCTTGATCTTCCTAAAACTGTTGTTGGGGCAGGTTAATGACTGACCTTTGAGGGAACCGCATACCAGCCTTTGTTCCCTAGCAGTCAGGATCTCGCAGAGGCTTGAAACCTTTGAGAGAATAGGATTAAGCTGCAGTGTGAAGTCCGGCGCAGGTGATGATCGATGGGAGCGGAGGAGCGGGTTTCTCAGGAAGGAATTCGTTTCGCCGCTGCCGAATTACCTGATGGAGGCGGCCGGCGTCAGGGGCCGCTTCCAGATCCGTTCCCTTTCAGCAGTGCTAAAATCCATCTGCGATCTGAACGGCTGCGGGTGAGCACCATCAGATGGATGTTCGCAGGGCGAGCCCTCGGCGTGCCGCTCGGCTCTCACCTGCCTTAAGCTCCAACCCGCTGCCACACACCTCATGCGAGCTGGCTGTGAGCGCCTCCAGAGCTGGGGCGACACTGAGGTGAACCTATAGGCATCGGGGCTCTTTGGGGCTCTTTGGGGCTCTTACGACGGGTCCCGGTGCCCCGCTCCTGGAGGCTCCCACCTCACCACCACACCCCGCTTATCCCGGGCTCCCCCGGCCGGCGGCTCGGCCCCTCAGCCCAGACCGGCCGGCGCCGGCCGTGTGACATCACCCATTCACGCCGCGGCCCAGCTGGCGCCGCCGGGGCGGTCGCCGTGGCAACGCGGACGCCGAGCCGCGGGCAATGACTTCCAGCTGCACGCCGACCGACCGCCGCAGCGCGCATGCGCGCCCCGGCTTTCTCGCGGTCCCCCTCCGCCCCCCCTTGCGTTATGTGGCACAGCGGTCAGCGGGGCGCTGTGTGTGGGCGCCTCGCGTCGCTCGCGTTTGGAGCCAGTGGCAGCCGATGTGGGGTTGACTGAGCTAAATTCATGTGAATGTCTTTGATGGCCGCAGTTGGCACATCCTAATTCTTAGGTTGTGAGAGAGTGAATGACTTTTGTGTTGGCTTTTGGGATGCCACCGTGGTTTTGCCGCCTTCTCCTTCGCTGCCCCTTTTTCTATGCTGGAGAAAATATATCTGAGCTGATACAGGATGCTGTCAGCACTTGGTGCTCCTGCACAAGGCCACTAAGGCCATACAGACCAACCGCCAACCGTTCCCACTAAACCATAACAGTGCTGAGCTGTGGCCTCGTGGTTTGGTAGCTTGCAGCCCGTGTGTGAAACTCGCTGTAAGTATTAGCCTAAATATAACTTGTAGTGATGTTAAAAAGATGAGAATCCTACTTAAGGAAAAAAAAAAAATCAATTACTTTTCATGTGGTTCCAAAAGCTTAATGTGTTCTGTAGGAACAACATGCTTCTGACTCAATTTATCTGTAAGAATGAAAATATAGTGAAACATTAATTTTCCAAAATTATGGAGTGTTTTAGTGCGATTGTAATGGCCCCTTTGTGCTTTTAATTGATTAACATTGTTATAACGCAAATTGTAGCTCACTGTAACCAAGTGCTTTAGATGGGAAAGAACCTGGCTGGCATCTTGAGTTTAAAGGTGCTGTCTGTATTATGCACTCGCATAGGAACCGCTCTGATTTACTTGCAATAAGCTATGCTAATACTGATGTTCCTTGGTATTGTTATGCTTCTGTGCCTTTTACACGTTCAGGTGCTGTGTTTCCTTAGGGAGTTGCACATGGACTTGGGATGGCCAGGAGATCTGGGTGCTGCGCGAAGCAGGAATGGTGAATGACGCTGGGGAGGGGAGCCCTCTGGAAACTGTGACGGCTTGTGTGTGTTGCAACTACATCTGATTAGTTCATCAGGAGCCGGTGTCAGCCTGGTACATCTAAGAGCTGAGTGAGCCTGGATGCAGTCCAGCTGCTGCCTTGCCCTATAGGGCTGAAGTGCTCAGCCTTGCTGAACCAGACGTGTGTCTGGGTGTGCCTGATCTGTGTTGCTCTTATCAGGAGAGCTAAGCAGCCCAGCGCAGCGGGTGTCCTCGCAAAAGTGCAACCCTGATTCTGCATGGCTGATGCTCAGCTGGAGGTAAAGGTTTAGCCTGGATGCTGCGGCATCATTTGTGCCTCTGTGCTCTGCTCTACCAGGAGATAAGCTCAGGTGGTCCTGGGTCCAGGCTGGGTTTGTGCTGTGCCCAACCAGGGTCTCAGACTGAGTTCAGCCTGGGGTTAGTAACATCAGTACGACTTCAGAGCCACTCAGATGAATCCAAACTTTGCTGATTAGCACAGCATAGGGATAACTGGGCAAGCTTTGCAAGACGCATTCATATTCCATGCCGCGTGAAAGTACTTGTACGGATGTGAATCTGCAGGGCCCTGAGATGCAGCCTGAGCTGATGAACTCAATCAGACCCAAATTGGCTCTGCATGGAACTTGCCTGGTGCCTCTGGCCCTTCAGCATTCTTGATTTGCTGCTCATCAGCTGTGGTATAGCTGAATGTTGACTTTATCTACTGCTGTACTTGGATGCATAATCTAAAATGTGTTGATTGGGCAAAAAATCACTAGGAGAGAAGTTTATAGAGAGATTCAGTAGCACGGGGAATGGTGTTTAAGACCAGGCCCACGCCTCGACACTGCCATTTATCTTTCTTTCGGATAAGGGAGCAGATTCACAGGAATGTGGAATTTAGTACTGTTGAAAACTGGGTACAATATTAAACTTTAACCGGGCTTGTGCGTTTTCCAGTATTTGTAACAGTCAGATATTTGTGTTCCTTCATTGTATGTTACGATTCTGATCTAGCAAAGCACTTAAATTATGTTCTGTAGAGCTTTGTTGGATCAGGGCCACTGTCAGTACTTCCAAAAAGTAAAGCCTAAAGCAGTCTCTGAAATATTTGGCTAGAGATGGTCTAGCATTATTCCTCACCCATAAGGATCTTATCTGGACCCTCCCGTAGGAACTGAAATAGCAAATGTCATGTATGCAGCCTTGGCAGTCAGTTTTGAACTTGGAGGGCTTCTTATGGTGAAGTAGTGTGGGCCAACATGCCTATTAGACATGTTCAGAGCTTTATATGCTTTTCTTATCCGTTTGAAACACAAACAATTCCTGCTTTCCAAATCAGGCCTTGCCATGTATTATGATGGCAGCGGCAACTTGATAAAAATAATATGGAAATCATAGTCTTTAGTTGCCTACAGAGTGTGCTTTGTCCAAGAAGGAAAAAATCTGCTATTCTAAAATTAACTAAATAATTGTTTTAAAAGCATTAAAATGTTGTAATCAACTGTTTACAGTTTTTGATAAGCTTTATTGGTCAGCAGTGCAAAATACATACCTGGAACCATCAGTAACATCTGTCTAAGTTAGAGATTTCTTTTCATCTTCAAAATTTGCTTATATTACTGGGCCTTTGTGGCTCACACTTCTGATAAATGGAATAACTTCAAACACGCTGCCTTATTCTGAACTACTCTGTCGTCTTTTTTACTGAGGTGCTAAGGAATTTTCACACAGGGTGATGAGGCACTGGAACAGGTTGCCCAAGGAGGCTGTGGATGCCCCATCCCTGGAGGCATTCAAGGCCAGGCTGGATGTGGCTTTGAGCAGTCTGGTCTGCTGGTTGGAGATCCTGGCAACATAGCAGGGGAAGATGATCACTGTGGTCCTTTTCAACCCAGGCCATCCTATGGTTCTATGAATGCTAGGTGACAATAAGTCAAAAGTTGTTATCCTTTTGTGTGAGATAGGATGTAACTTTCAGGTAGCCTATGCTATAGTAGGGGTTGGAAAACTTCCTGTGAAGTATTCACAGTGAAAATGTAATTCTGTAGAGTGTGTTTGTTATGGATTTGGCCATATTTCCAAGTGGCAGTTTTGCTGACAGACCAAGTAGACTTTATTAGTCCCTTCCAAGTGTATAGTGGGAGTTTTTTCAGTCTCATCCTGAAAGCCATGCCACATGTAGGATAGTACAGGATCTACCTTTCTCATGGGAAGCACAACAGTGCCACTTTAGATTATCTTACCATGGTTTACTCAAAATACATTTGCTTCAGAATTTTCAGGATGCAAAAGAAGTTTGCTCGCGTGACACACAGTTACTACATTGGTCACTCTGAAAGTAATGCCTTGTATTTATTTACTTGGAAACTAAGATAGATACAAAGAGCACAATAACATGGTTTGATAGAGCAAATTCTCAGCTACAAAATGCTGTTTTTCAATAAAATTGCCACCATCACTATGCATTTTTGCTAGTGATGAACAAGACTGCGTGCCATGCTCATAAAAAAATCTTTACAAGTGGAGGTGACCTGCTGTTAACTCCACTGAAACACACTGCAAGAATAGATGAATATCAGTGGTTGAAATGTTTTCTGCATGGAGGAATTCAGTGGCACACCTTTACTTCATCTACTCTTTTGGGTCAAATGTCATTTTTTTGTCAGAATGCCTCTCTGCTGCCAGCTGTTGCGTAGCAACAAAATATAATGGATTATTGGTGGAAGAGATTGACTTCTGCTGCCATACCACCAGCATCTGCCTCTGATGTAACAGGCCAACATAATAAAATAGGAGGCATTACTTCTGGAGCAGCCCTGCTAATTTGGATCTTTTATGTGTAGTGCAATGAGCCAAATATAAGAGTTCTGTGCTCTGCAGAATCAACCAGCAAATGCTGTTTTGCAAAGTGATCTTAGAGACGGAGAGAAAAAATTGCTGGGTGAGGATCTGGGAAATAGGAAGAATTTAAGATATCTCACTACTGTTGATTGGATGTAAGGAGATCAAAGAAGGCTCAGGACTGAGTATTATTTCCTGGGCCCTATTTTGAGATATGAAGCTGCAAATAGCGTATTTTCATTATGTCGTTGTGTTCTCAGAGCTGCCCAATAGACAGCTTTGGTCATGAAAGGGTTCATACCAACTTCATGAACTGAGATAATTGTATGAAATTTCTTTGTGTGTGGTGTATGCACGTATCCACATATATATGTAAAATGCAAAAAAATGGTTTCTAAGTATGTAGTTATAACAAACTGATTTATGGAAAAATCTGATTATTTAATAATGTACTTCTTGTTGTAGTGAGAAGCAAAAAAGCTTGAAACTCTGTCTACTATAGCAGTGTTAATAGTAGGTAGATGGCAAGTGTTTTATTTATCTAAAGCTATTTCCATGTGAATTAAAAAAAAAAAAAGTTTTCAATGATTTTAGGCAAGAGAAGAAGAAAGTGGCTGGCCAAATTTGTCCTGACAGTAGCCCTTTATATTTTCATAATTAATAAAGAAAAAAAAAAAAAAAAGGCATTTGCATTGATTGTAACATGTTTTCTTAATTACTGCTATTTGTCTTGTTCATATTGTCAAATGGGAGGTTCATGTTTTCGATCGTTCAGGCTCTTAGCTGTGGTAAATATACTTCTGGCAGCCTCATGGCATCTGCTGTGTGCTTGTGCTGGAAGGTTTGTTTGCTTATGCTGCCAGGGCTCTGTGTTTTTCTTGTGGAAGAGCAAGGGTGGCTTTTATATCCTGATTAAAGAAACTCTTTGTCCTGCAATGAGGGTTTTTTTTTTTGTCTTTGAGTTAAATTCATCAATTTGCAGTGTTTCAGTGTTCAGTAATGGAGTCTGATATGCTAGACAGTTGGCATCTGCAGAGGTTACATCTAGAATAATGTGGCTTTGAATCCTGGAGGATCTGCAGGGCATGAGGTAAGAGTGTGTCTTAACTCTCCGGTGTAATTTAGGTTTGTTATTCCCACCAGGATTTACTTATAACAAGGATCGCCATAATGTGCAGGAGACTTACTGCTCTACACCGTATTTCTTAGGTGCCTTATGGCTTTTCTTTGTGAAAGGAGTCACCTGAGGTGTGATTCTACCAGAAATTCTGAAACGTTATTTTAAACCTGATCAGATTTAAATCAGATACAGTGCTTCCGAAGCCTCAGTGGATGTGGAGATCAAAGGGCAGAAGTTGTTGAAGGAGGACTGTGGTGCATCTACTTTTGTTGTAGTTGCAGTGTTTGGATTTATAGGGAGGAGCTCCTGCCTGAACCATCAGGAGCTGTATGTTTCCCTACATCTTTGATGCACATCTTTGTCCTCTGTGGGAAGGTGGGAGGTGTATTTGTTCCAGGTACTGGGTCAAGAACTCACCGATAATCCTGCTCAGAGAACAATGATATGTCATCTTGTTTGTACCTCTTTGTACTGGCATAAACTGTGTTTTGTCAAAGAAGTTCTAGAAGATTTTAATTGCCCATAGAAAATGGACAGAATGAACAGCAACATGATTAGTTTTCCCGTACCAGAGCACTCATTTTGAACACAGAATGAAAGGAGCATATTCAGCCCTTACAATGCTGAGACCATTAACAGCATTGCTGTTTGAGGGACAGAAGAAAGTAGGTAAATTTTTCAGAATAGAGCTATCACACTGTATCACTACATTTTACTCTGTAGAGGTTTATTTGTTTTTATGAAAACTTTTGTTCTCCCTTTAGAGGAGAAAAGGCATACAATTTTCTTTAATTCCCGAGAGATCTGGTAGCACATATTCAGAATTTTCTTGTAATTAAGTTAAGCTGTGTTGCACTGTAAATCATCGTTTCCAGTCCAGAATTAAAATAGTAAAGTGAAAACTACGAGTTGGATATCTTAACCTATGATAAATACTGTGCTGGAGCTTGTCTTTTCTAAGTCCACTTTGCTGCTCAGCTTTTTCTCCTGTCCTGTGGGGAGCATGTTCATAAAGGAGGTTAGGGCAGATGGTTTGAGATTAATAACCATTGAGAAAGTAGGTCTACCCATAGTGCTTGATTTTAAATTGATTTATCCTTAAACATGACCTTGGATACAAGTCAACTTACAGGACTGAAGCTCACATGCTCTTGATCTTCAGAAAATTCCTTACAGTCTGAATTTAAGCTGATTTTATTTTTTCATCCACTTGGCTAAAAACTATATTTAACATTTTAAAGTAGTTTGTTTTGTTCACAGTTTCTGTAGAAAATCATCAGTGCTGTCTTTCTCTGTCTTTTCAGATACGGCAGTTTGATTGATTTCAGAGCCTGATACACAGGTAAGTCTGGACAACACAGAGGGTATTTGGTCAGAGCCATAAAATACTGGAAAAAGATAAGACTGCAGCTAAGCATGGTGTGCTTCAGGAGGCATCTCAACATGCTCTGGCTTTCATGAAGGCTCTGGCTTTCATGAAGACTTCTCCAAGCTTGTTGGTTCTCAAGGCTAGAGTAAATGCAGAAGACTCTTCTCCTTCCTAGAATCTGTAATTAAGCATGGCCTATTAAACACCTTCCATCTGGCTAGACTGCCCTCTTCAAATGCTTGTTTGGTAAAGGAGAGGTGGTTCTTTGCTGCTATGACTTTGTATCTCCTAGGAACCTGTCAATATTCTTCCTTCAGTTGACGGTAAAATTCTGTTAAGGTTATTTGAATAGGACAAGCCTAGAGCTATGCTCCTGTTTATAAACTCTATTATTGCTCAGCCTTCTTAGTAACAAATAAACTGCAGTCTGAAACTGCAAAGAAAATAGAATTAGCATGTGTCTACACAAGCATAAATGTCCTTCTGTAAGATACCAGTTCATACTCCTTCTCACTAATTTCCTCCCCCCCAAAAAAACTTTTCACCTGTTTGGTTACACATATTCTCTGTTCCAAAGAGCACATCTTACAGTGTTTGCTTATGCATGATCAGCTGTCCTTTTCTTGTAATTGTAACTGGTTTGAATGGCAGTTCTCATTCTGTGTAAGTATGATTTATTAGATTTAATCTATGTTGTAAATTTGTGATATTTAATAACTTATTTTCTTTCTAAAGCTTGTGGGGACATAACTTCACTTAAGTACTTGGAGAAAGTAATTCAGAAGTTAGATTTACTCATTTGATGATATTTACAGATTAATTGGCTGTGAGTTCTTGGTGCAAGTTCACCAAGGATCTAGAAGCTGGGTTTCCTGGGAGTTGTTTGAAAAATAGATTATGCAGTTATTATGGTCTGTGGTCACTAATCAGTGTAGTGCTATCAAATCTGTCCTAATAACTGTATATCCACTATCTTAATTGGAAGAAGGTATCAGAAATAAAGCCTACATTAGACTTTACTTGTGTTCTTTTAGTTTTCAGAATTTAAACATAGAGTGTATATGAGTTAGACATGTGTACTTAAACTGTACATGTGTGCACATAGTAAATTCTTAAATAACATCTAGAATTTGGATTTCTGAAAAGCAAAAAGTGAATGCCTTTAATTTTTTAAAA